ACTGAGCATGAAATTTCATTGCAAAATTACAGCTTTTACATAAATATTACAAGTCACGAAAAGATAAAACAGATTGAATTTAAAATTGTAGCTAAATATGGAAAAAAAATCAGAATCTAGAGGAAAGAAAAGCATATATTTAAACCAGATGGTTGTAGGGTTCCCAGATTGTAGAATAATCTCCTTTCCAACCATTCACTTTTGTGAATGTCTGTTGGACCACTAATAAGTCCTACAATTGAAAAGTCCTCAACTGTACAGTTGTTGATGGTGAAATGTTTCCCTATAGGCGTATCTTGGTTCCACAGTTTAATATGGTTTAAATATGCTCAATCACCAGGTCAGCAACCAGCTTGTTCAATTTATAAACTATCTGTTTACTCTATACATAAGTAACTGATTACAGTTAAAAATGTTTAATCCTAAAAACTAATCACATCACTTTATATATATGACTTTCTTTTCAAGAAGTTCTGTTTTTTTCAAGACTTAGTAAAAATTTCAGGAGTAAACAATGTAAATAAAAATAATGAAAATAAACACATACTAATTATTTACATGATGTAATTTTGCAGAGAAATTTCATGCTCGATATTCAAAATGCTATGTATACAATTGTTTTAATTCTGAACATGCACCTTTGTACAATCTAACAAAGAGCACTACCTTGAATCATCATCCTCTTAAAATAAAAGTATTAAAAACTTGGAGATTGTTTAAACTGTTCTTAAATTCTGATATCTTTGTCATCTATCCAGTTAACTGTATATTTCTTTAGAGGATCATATACACTACTAACCATAACAATAATATGAAGTCTAAATGAAGTTTGTTTCTGCATGTTCTATTGTGACCAGAGTGCTTAAACACACTAATATTGTGGGGGTGATATTCCTTGAATATATCAACATAAATAAATTCAACAATAAAAACCCTATAGCCAGAGAATTTTCAAAAGGTAAACCTTTCTTCTTCAGGGGCAAAGAAGAAAGTTTCACCTTTTGAAAGTGCTTGAGTTATAGAGTTTCTATTGTTTTATATTAAGTCTTCTTGAACCTATGTGTTTTTCTGACATAATGAATAAGTACATTCATATAATATGTTTAAATCATTAATACAAAATATATTACTATTGGTATTAGACTGGGTAATAAGAAAGACCACAAAACAACCAAGGTGTATGTGATGGACTTTCACACAGAAACCAGAGGACTACGACTTTGCAGACAATATCAACCATGTCTCATACCAACAGAGATGTTCAAGACAAACACATAAACTACATACCCATTCATAGTTAGTAAGACTACAAATTAACACTGAGAAAACTAAAACCAAGTGAATCAAACATCAATAACACTTTCTGGGACTAACACAGAAGAGGTCCAACCCTTCACACACATCTTGTTAGTACAGTAAGCAAAACAGGTAGAACAAATGAAGACATTAAAACCAGAACAGTGAGAGCCAGACATGCTTTCGTAGCTCTAAAACAAATTTGAATAAATAGAAACCTCGTACTTCAAACTAAATTTCAAATATTCAACACAACTGTATAGTCTGTTTTACTGTATGGAACTGACACTTAGAGACTTATCAAGATCTTACGATCTAAACTCCAAGCTTTCATAAACAGCTGCCTTATGCAAGTCCATTACATCAGAATTTATAGCCATCATCAAAATGACATGGGAGATAGCAAGGACTGTAGCAAAATACCATAAATGATGGAATACAGTGCTAAGAGCCATATGTTCCAAATGGAATAAAATTCACTATGAATTTCTAACTGCAGAAGAAAAAGTAATTCATAACAAACTCGTGTAAAATTTATTACATCAAATGACAATGGATGAAACAAGCAGCATTAAATTATCTTGTTTGGGCCTTAATGATTATTTAAGTACTCAAAGGTAAACAGTTTTTTTTTAAATACAAATAAAAATTATCCTCCCTCCTCCCCCTTTTTTTGTCTATGCATAATAACTGTTCAAAAATTACCCAAAATTCCAATCTCTTTATCTTCCAGTTGTTCCTTTATTTCAGTATAGAGGTCTCTACTAATTTCAGTGAAGTCAGCTTGAATAATGCCAGTAGCAACACCAAAGTCTTTTTCTAGAGAAAAAAACAACAAAAAAACAATTTTCTCTGTAACTTTTACTGGACAAAACAGAAAAAATAAAGATTTAAAATGCTGTTTACATAAAATAGAATAATCATTAATCCAGATGAGCTGAACTTGGCTGTATTACAACAGCTTGCCTCTTTAATATGCCTTGATGGACAACTACAGCAGAAAACTGCAATAGCAAACCTTAAGTTACAATGAAATATTGCATACAAAAGGGTTTACATTTTAATACTTCAATTGAAAAAAAATATTAATATAATATCATAAATGTGAATTATGATCAAACTTCAACCTATGAAAGTTTTACTCCAAAGTAAACGAATTACAGTTAAAAATGTTTTATTCTAAAAACTAATTATATAT